TGGAGGAGCCCGCGCCCCCTACAGAAAAAACCCCAAAAAAAAAAAAAAAAAAAAAAAAACCAAAAAAACAAACCTTTCCAATAAATAAATAAATAAAAGAAAAAGAAGGGGAAAAAAATATTTCCACAGGGGAGGCTGGCAGGTGGCATGGTGGTTTAGGACCCTGCATTCCCGCACTGCCAACCATGTGACCAACCATGGTTTGAGACCTGGACCTGGCAGCTTGCTTTCTCACCTCCTCTCTCTCTCTCTTTCTCTCTCTCTCTTTCTGTTCCTCTCTGGTCAAATTAAAATAAATAAATAAATAAATAAATAACTATTTTTAAAAAAGTATTTCCACGGGGCACATGCACGTGCCAGAAAGGGACCGAGACAGAAAGCGAAGGCCCCCGTCCTCCTTTACCAACGGGGTAGGGGTCTGTTACCTTTGAACTGTGTGCTGAATACACAACTTTCTTTGTTTCGTCCACATGAACGCTCCAGATCTGCGGTTCCGTGGCAGTTTTGGAGCCTCCATCCCAAATGGTGAATTTCTCCTGGCCGGTAAGTAAGTCCCACAAGCGTAACGTGTGGTCCTTCGAGGCGGAGAGGGCCAGCGTCCCTTCTGCAAACACGTTCACGTACCTCACCTCTCCTGCGGCAGGCGGGTGGGAGAGAGTACGTTAGCTGAGCACAGGATGGCGTCACAACGACTGAAATGCCCCTTTACTTGGAAATATCCCGATTTGTCCAAGGGAAGAAGAATGGATGCAAACATATCCAAATGTAAAAAACTGAAATAAGGCCAAGTTGAATTATGAGTGGTTCATGGGAGGAGGGGAGTAAATCCCAGGGGGTTAGTATAAATGAATCATTTCAGAGGTTGAATCTTGTTTTTTTTGGACAGGTTTTTGCTATAGGGCGCGTGCGCTCGCCAGACAGACAGAGACAGAGAGACAGAAAGCCAGAAATCACCCCCTAGAAAGGATGGTCACACCGCAATTCTTTCTCCTCCATTCTCCTCTCAGGATCTTGGGCACGCATGCACACGCGCCTGGCGTGAGTTTTAAGCCACCGGGTCCAGGACTCGAACCGTGGTCGACTAGATGGGAGTCCAGCAACACAGCCATTACGCTAACTGCTGGTCCCAAGATGTTGAATCTTTAATAAAAGAAGATCATGGAAAGGTATAAAATTTGGGACCAGCAGTTAGCGTAATGGCTGTGTGTCTCTGGACTCCCACATAGTCGACTACAGTTTGCATCCCAGACCCAGTGGCTTAAAACTCACTCCGGGTGCGTGTGCGTGCATGCCCAAGATCCCGAGAGAAGAATGGAGGAGGAGGGATTACGGCGTGGCCATCCCCCCTGGGGGGTGATTTCTCGCCTTCTGTCTCTCTGTCTCTCTGTCTCTCTCTGTCTTTCTGGAGAGCGCAAGTGCCCTATAGCAAAAACCTCTCCAAAAAAATAAATAAGTAAAATAAAATAAGGTGACTATAATCCCCACTTCCCATGCCTTACCTGTGTGCCCAGTTAGAACGTGGACCACCTGCTGCTCCTCCATGTCCCACACGGCCACGATACCATCCTGGGTGCCGACGACCAGCAGTTTCTCTTCCGGGCCCCATGCCATGGCAGTGATGCCTGCAGCCAGGTAGGAACACCACCAGTGATCTCAGCTCTCATGTTGTACACCCAGCCATGAGGTCCTCTATTGTCCCCCCGCCCCCCCTGCTTCACAGATAAGAAAACTGAGGCATGGAGACCAGCAGTTGGCCTATTGGCTATATCGCTGGACTCCCATGTAGTCGATGGCGGTTTGAGTCCCGGACCTGGTGGCTTAAACTCACGCCAGGCACGTGTGCGTGCGTGCCCAAGATCCCGAGAGGAGAATGGAGGAGAAGGGATTGCGACATGGCCATCCCCCTTGGGGGGTGATTTCTCACTTTCTGTCTCTCTGTCTCTCTCTGGCTGGCCCGCGTGCCCTATAAGCAAAAACCTCCCCCAAAAAAAAAAAAAAATAGAAAGAAAACGGAAGCATGGACACAGTCCATCCCTTGCCCAAAGCCGCACACCTAGGAAAAGCTAGAGTTAGGATTTCACAGACAGCACTGACAGCTTGGGAAATACATTTTTCTTTTCTTTTTTTTTTTAAGAGCGATTTTTGCTATAGGGTACGTGTGCTTGCTAAAGAGACAGAGAGAGACAGAAAGCGAGAAATCACCCCCCAGGGGGAGGGTCACGCTGCAATCCCTTCTCTATTCTCCTCTCGGGATTTGGGCCCAGTGTGAGTTTCAAGCCACCAGGTCCAGGACTCGAACTGCGGTTGGCCATGTGGAAGTCCAGCAATGTAACCATTATGCCACCTCCTAGTCCTGAGAAGTGCATCTTTCTCTACCTGGAAGAGGTACAGGAAGAGCCTGAATGGTAATAAGTGGCAATTGATGTATGAGCTATTTGTATTCACTGGTCTCATGATAAATGTGAAACTCCGTAGGTAGACAGATAAAGATGGGTGGACAGAGACTGGTAGGTGGATAAATGGAGAGATAGGTGGCTGGCTGGATGAGTGGGTGGGTGAATGGATGACTAGGTAGATGGGAAGATGGATGAATCAGCTTTATAGAGGATGAGCAAGTTGATGAATAGCTAATTGTATAGATGGGTGGAGGGGCAAGGGAGTGGATAGAAGGTGGCCAGAGGAGGAAAATGGAAGGATAAGGGGGCAGAGGGGTGAGTGGATAGATGGATATATGGGTAGAGTGTTGGATGACTAATGAGTGGAGGGAGACATGGAAAGAGGGAAGGAAGATGATAGATTGGAAGATGAATGAAGAGATGGGTGAATGTATAAATGGATGAATGGATGGGTGGGTGGATGGATGGGTGGATATATAGGTAGATGGGTGGATGGATGGATGGATGGATGGATGGATGGATGAATGGATGGATGGATGGATGAACTGGTGAATGAATGGATGGATGGGTGGGTTGACGGGTGGGTGGATGCGTGGATGAATGAATGGATGGGTGTGTGGGTGAATGGATTAATGGGTGGGGAGATGGATGGGTAGATGAATGGATAGATAGATGGATGTATGAATCGGTGAATGAATGGCTGGATGGGTAGGTGGACGGGTGGGTGGATGGGTGGATGAATGAATGGATGGGTGTGTGGGTGAATGGATTAATGGGTGGGTAGATGGATGGATGGATGGATGAATTGGTAAATGAATGGATGGATGGGTGGGTGGATGGATGGGTGGATGGGTGGATAAATGAATGGGTGGATATATGGGTGAATGGATTAATGGGTGGGTAGATGGATGGATGGATGGATGAATTGGTGAATGAATGAATAGATGAGTGGGTGAATGGGTAGATGAATGAATGGATGCATATGGATGGATGGATGAATGGATGGATGGATGATGAATTGGTGAATGAATGGATGGATGGGTGGGTGGATATGTGGGTGAATGGGTGGGCAGATGAATGGATGGATGGATGGGTAGATGAATGGATAGATAGATGGATGTATGAATCGGTGAATGGATGGTTGGATGGGTGGGTTGACGGGTGGGTGGATGGGTGGATGAATGAATGGATGGGTGTGTGGGTGAATGGATTAATGGGTGGGTAGATGGATGGATGGATGGATGAATTGGTGAATGAATGGATGGATGGGTAGATGGGTGGATAAATGAATGGATGGATATACGGGTGAATGGATTAATGGGTGGGTAGATGGATGGATGGATGGATGAATTGGTGAATGAATGAATGGATGAGTGGATGAATGGATAGATGAATGAATGGATGCAGGTGTGGGTGAATGGATTAATGGGTGGGTAGATGGATGAGTGGGTGGGTGGGTAGGAGGATGGATAGATGGTTGGATGGATGGATGGATGGATGAATGGATGGATAGATGGATGGATAAGTGGTTGACTAGATGGGTGGATGGATGGAAGAATACAAAGGTTACAAATGGATACAAAAAATTTTTCCATTACAATATCCGCCACCCCTTTCTGTACTGTCAGGGAGAAATGAAAGCACATGTTTCTCCATCTTTAAAAAGAACTTCATATTTTTCTCCTTGGCCTAAGGTAAAACCTCAGTAATAAAGGAACGACATACCTTTTATAGTCATTAACCTCACTTCCAGGTGACATTTTAAAAATTATGATTAGGCTATCATGTGGTTATATAGGGAATGCTAGCTTCCAATGAATAATTATGTATTCTAATGGGAAAAATTGATTTCCAATATGAAAAATATGGAAATGATTGGAATACTATTTAAATGATCCTTGTCATCAATAACATAAATAAAAACAATATTATTAATTCAAATTTATTTAGTCCCATGAACCAGTCATTGGGACAAGAAGTTTACTTTTATTATTTCATTAAATCTTCAAAATATCTTTAAAAATAAAATATTATTACTATTATACATTTTAAATAAGTAACTAAGGCAGTTTTCAATATATTTTTGTCTAATTGCCAAACCCAGTTTAATAATCTGATTGTACCACTGCAATAATAGTCTTTTAAAATTGAATCACTGTTCTCTATTTCCTCTCATAAGAGCCAAATAAAATGAAAAATACTCATTAGAACAAATTTTAAATTGTGAGTTGCCTGGAAAACTTAGGTTTCAGGTAACTCACGAAATGCTAATATTGTAATGTATTCCACAGTCCATTATCTAGAAAATAATTAAGAAATCAAAAGTCTAAACAGAATTCAGTAAACCTCAACAAGATTATTATTAATTAAGGCAAATGAATTAAATTTGTATCTGACTGACAAATCCTTACTCAAAATATAGTGGTCTTCTTTGTTATTATGAGTATTTTATTTGGGGGGAGGGAAAAAAACACACAACATGTTTGTTTGTAAAATATATTTTTATCAACCAATTGAGTGTTTTTACTCCAGACACTAAAATTGACTTTTAAATATTAGTTCCAAAAAGTTAAGCTATCATTTTTCATATATATCATGCCTTCATAAAACATATTAGCTTTTTCATTATTTATTTAATTTTATTCATTCATTCATTTTAATTTGACCAGAGAGAGACACATAGAGAGAGAGAAAGAGAGAAAGTGGGAATGGGTGGACGATGGGTGAGTGGATGGCAGATGGATAGATGGGTAAATGGATGGGAGGATGGGAGGTTGGATGGATGGATGGATGGATGAATGGATGGATAGATGGATGGATAAGTGGTTGACTAGATGGGTGGATGGATGGAAGAATACAAAGGTTACAAATGGATACAAAAAATAAACCCCCATTTTCCCCTGACATTCTGGGGTGCCAGGGGCAGACTACAGTCCCACCAGCATCTCAAGGGCCAGTCAGACATCATTCCAGACTTCCACACTTCCTACTGTGAGCCTGGAAATCGCAGAAACTCTGTATGACGGCACCCAACTCTTTGAGATGGGAACCTCCGAGGCATCCCCAGGCTTCGGGCTCATTAGCCATATTTACGCTAGTAATCTATGATCCCGTGGGACAGGGAGAACCGATTCAGCATGAGACAGCAGGGGCAGGCCCTGTGGCACCCTGGGGACCTTGCGACAGGCAGAAGGAGCCCCAGGGAGCAGCCTGACACATTTGCCATCTGCTACCCCCAGGCATGTGGGGGCCTGGAGGAATTTTGGCTCTGCTGGGGAGACTCACCTTTATGACAGCCAGTGAGAGTCGCCCGGAGGGGTCCTCCTGGGGGCTGGAGGAATCCTATGAGGGGTACCAGCACTGGGTGCGGACACACCCGGAACCAGCTCTGGGCCTGCTGACACAGTTGCCCCACCAGTGCGGGATGGGAGGTGGCGAAGAAATGGAGTCTGGCCAGCAGTTCGGTGTACAGGATGCTTTTGTCTGCAATGAAGGGGGTGCAGGTTAAGGTGCCCAGGTTGGGTGTCACCCTGTGGAGTCCCTACCGCCTCTGGGAGCTGGAGAAGAGAAAAGCAGACACAGACCCTTAGGCAGTGGCCCCTGCCACACTCTCCTGTCTCCCTCTCTACTCTCTAGACAATTCCCTACTTCAAGTGCCAGGCAGTTTGGAGCCTCTAGTTTCGCAGCTCATGGAGGAGAGAGGGTTTCTAGAGTGAGTGCAAAGCAGAGCCTCCTAGCCAGGCCAGCCTGACTCACCCATGCCACGGAGCTCCACAGCAGGGCGGCAGAGCTGGAGGGCCTCACGGATCAAGCTGACCTCAGGAGAGTCCACGTGAGGGGCACACATGTCGAAGTCGTCCAGCAGGCATTCAATGCCCCCAGACATGCCCCGGCAGGAAATCCAGCTCATGTTGCCTGTGGGGGGAGAGAGAGGAGCATGTGAGTGACACACACCTACCTGTAGGAGGCAGGGAATCACTTCTCCATCTCATCCACGGGTTCTCATGCTCAGCAGTACCAATGTTTGGGGTGGGATCTTTATCTGTGGTCAGGGGCTGAACTGTGCATTGCAGGGTGTAGAGCAGCATTCCTGTCTCCACCCACTAGATCCCAGTAGTACCCCCTGCCCCAAAGTGTGACCATCAAAAATGTGTCCACACATTACCATGTGTTCCCTGGGAGACAGCATCTCCTCTAATGGAAAATCACAAAGATGAATAAGTAGATGAATACATGGATGAAAGAATGGATAGGTCGACAGACAAACAAATGGATGGGTGAGTGGATGAAAAGATGGATAGAGAAAGATAAATGAATGAGTGAATGAATAAGTAGATAGGAAGACAGAAAGACAGATGGCTGGATGAATGGATGGATAGATCAGTAAGTGGATGGATAGATAAATGGATGGACAGAGAAAGTTGAATGGACAGATAAATGGATGAGTAGACAGAAAGACAGATGGCTGGATGAATGGATACATAGATCAGTAAGTGGATGGATAGATAAATGGATGGACAGAGAAAGTTGAATGGACAGATAAATGGATGAGTAGACAGAAAGACAGATGGCTGGATGAATGGATACATAGATCAGTAAGTGGATGGATAGATAAATGGATGGACAGAGAAAGTTGAATGGACAGATGAATGGATAAGTAGACAGAAAGACAGATGGATAAATAGAAAGACAAATGAGTGGATGATGGAAAGATTGATGAATGGATGATGGACAGATAGACACATGGATAGACAGGTAGAAAGATAAATGAATAGATGGATGGTCAGATGGGATAGATAGAGAAGTAGATAGATAGATGGTGATAGACAAATAGATGCATGGACAGATGGGTGGATGGGTAGACAGACAGACAAATGGATGGATGAATGGATGGACAGATGTGTAAATGGATGGATGGATGAACAGATAAATGAATGGGTGACAGACAGATAAATAGACAAGTGGATGAACAGATAGAAAAATGAATGAATGGATGGATGGATGAATGGACAGATGGATAGATATAGATAGATACATAGATTATGATAGATAGACAAATGGATGGATGGATGAACAGATGGATGGATGATGGACAGATAAATTGATAAACAAATGGACAGATAGAAAGATGAATGAATAGTTGGATGTATGGGTAGATAATAGACAAATGGATGGATGGATGCATAGATAGATAAATGGATGGATAGATAGTAGATAGACAAATAAATGATGGCTGAATGGATGGATGGATCGATGGACGAATGGATGGATGGATACATAGACAAGTGGATGGATAGATAGATAAATGGATAAATGGATGCATGAATAGATAGGTAAATGGATGGATGGATAGATGATGGATGGACAGATGGATAGATAGATAAATGGGTGGATGGGTTGATGGATAGATAAATAGATAAATGGATAAATGGATGCATGAATAGACAGATAAATGGATAGATGGATAGATGGATAGATGATGGATGGACAGATGGATAGATAGATAAATGGGTAGATGGATGGGTGGATAGATAGATAAACAGATGCATGGATAGCTAGATAAATGGGTGCATGCATGGATTTATGGATGGATGGATGGATAGATAGATAAAGAGATGCATGAACAGATAGACGGATGGATGGGTGGATGGATGGATGAGTGGATGAACAGATTAATGGAAGGATGACAAACAGATAAATAGAAAAATGGACAGATAGAAAGATGAATGAATAGATGGATGGACAGACGGGTGAATGCATAGACAGACAGACAGACATAGACACAGATAGGCAGGGTCTCTCTTGTGCTAAGACAGACTTCCTACCCTCTGTGGTATCATTTGGGGCAGATCATCCTCTGTGAGGGCTTCTTATGCTCTTCGGGATGTTGAGCAGCACCCCGTCTCTGCTCATTAGATTTGAGAACCACCCCTTCCCTAATCCTGACAGCCCCATATGCCTGCAGATACTGTCACGTGTCCCCTAGGTGCAGAATGACCCACTGTGAGTACCTCTGCCTTAAAAAGAACCAGTGCGTTTTGTTTTTCTTTTTTTGGAGAGGTTTTTGCTATAGGGCACAGGCACTCGCCAGAAAGACAGAGAGAGACAGAGAGATAGAAAGCGAGACATCACCCCCGGGGGGATGGCCACACCACAATCCCTTCTCCTCCATTCTCCTCTCGGGATCTTGGGCACACACGCACACGCGCCCGGCATGAGTTTTAAGCCACCGGGTCCAGGACGTGAACCACGGTCAACTACATGGGAGTCCAGTGACATAGCCATTACGCTAACTGCTGGTCCCGGAACCAGCGCTTTTTGTATTTGCCATTTGCCCTTCCCAGCTCATGAAGGCAGGAGCACAGGGGAGCATCTGAGCCCTGCTCGGATCCCCCCGAGATGGGGGCCGCCTTACCCAGCACCTCCTGCTTCAGCTCCTCCAAGCGTCCTGAGTGGAGCAGGTGATAGGGCAACTCCTTCAGCTTCCTCAGGTTGGCGACTGTGTCTGAGAACCACAGGGGCTGAGGGGCCACCTGGCAAAGAAGGGGGACCGGAAGCTGGCGCTTAAACACAAGCTCTTCCATTCATTCTGCAGACATGGGACGGGCCAGACACTAGACAGCACTGGAGAGGGTGGCGACACAATGGACGACACCGATGTCCTCCCCCACGGCCAGGGCTGGGGCAGAGGGAAGGGCTGGGATCCGCGAATCCAGGGCAGGGATCGAGGAACTTCCTGAAGGCAGGGGCATTGCAGCTGGGGCTTAGAGGATAAAAAGGAGTCTGTCTGGCAATTATGTCCAAAATCAAAGTCATTGCAGGGCAAAGGAACAGCATGAGGAAAGCCCTAGGGGTGTGAGAGACATGATCAGATTAGATTATCAGAAGTATTCTTTTATAAAAAAAATTTCTGGAGGGACCAGCAGGTGCCATGGTGGTTAAGGTGCTGGACATTCCCATGTGGCCAACTACAGTTCGAGTCCCGGACCTGGTGGTTTCCTTTCTCACTTTCCCTCTCTCTTTCTCTGTGTCTCTCTCTGGCCAAATTAAAATAAATGAATGAATAAATCAAATTAAATAAATAATTATGCTTTAAAAAAATTTTTGGAGAGGTTTTTACTATAGGGTGTGTGCGCTCACCAGAGAGACAGAGACAGAGAGTTAAAAAGTGAGAAATTATCCCCCAGGGGGGATGGCCATGCCACAATCCCTTCTCCTCCATTCTCCTCTCGGGATCTTGGGCACGCACGCACACGTGCCCGGCATGAGTTTAAGCTGTCGGGTTCGGGACTTGAACTGTGGTCGACTACGAGGGAGTCCAGCGACATAGCCATTACGCGAACTGCTGGTCCCCTGAAATTGTTTTAAAAGTAAGGGCCAGGTCTATGACTCCGTGATTACAGGCTCTTGATTCCACATGGCTGACAGGGTTAGAATCCCAGCCCTAGCAATTTGAAACACACACACACACACAGCAGGAGTATGTATAAGTATGTCCCAAATCCCAACAGGACAGAGAATGGAAGAGAAGGGATGGTGGCATGACCATGCCCCATTGGGGAGTGCTTTCTCCCTCACTGTGTCAGTCTCTAGTAAGCATGGTCATGCTGCAACCCCTCTCCTCCATTCTCCTCTCAGGATTTTCCTTAAAAAGAGGGGAAAAAAAGGAGGTGATTTCTACCAGGCAGCCGGCAGGTGGGAAGCAGGGATATCCCGCCACCTCACCTTACGGTCCAAATTCAGGGGCTTCCCCACAAGTGGGAGGGTGATGAGTTTCTTGGTGCCCTGGCTCCAGGCTCCCGAGAAGAAGTCGGCCAAGACACTGTGCCTTTTGGCTCTTTCTGGTCCTGACAGGTAACGCTCACGGATCACCTTGGCCAGCTGTCTGCAGGAAGAGGACACAGGTGAACTCAGAGGTGGTCAGTGATCTTCCCAAAGGCAGTTCTCAAATCCAGTTCACACCAAGTCACCTTTTTTTTTTTTGGGAGAGGTTTTTGCTATAGGGCGCGTGCACTCGCCAGGAAGACAGAGAGAGACAGAGAGACAGAAAGCAAGAAATCACCCCCCAGGGAGGATAGCCACACTGCAATCCCTTTCTTCTTGGGATCTTGGGCACGCACGCACACGCGCCCAGCGTGAGTTTAAGCCACTGGATCTGGGACTCGAACCATGGTCGGCTACATGGGAGTTCAGCAACATAGCCATTACGCTAATTGCTGGTTCCAACTTTTTATTTATGTTATGTTTTTAAAGAAAGCAAGCCAGATCTCACATGGCCAACTGTGAATTGAACTCCAGCCCTGGTGACTTGACAAAGACACCAGGCATGTGTGCATGCCCTAAAATCCCAACAGGACGGAGAAATGGAGAAGGGATTGCAACATAACCGTGCCTCACTGGAGTGGGGAGTTTCCTTCCGCTTCCTTTGTCTCTCTGTCTCTCTGATGAGTTCACGTGCCCTCTAGCAAATAAAAAACAGAAAACAAACGAACAAAAAAATATCCATCTCTGGCCCAGCCACAGTGGCAAATACTGCTAAGATGCTGTGCTCCACAGGCTGGGGCCACATGAGAGGCCTAGGTTCGATTCCCAGTTCAACTTAGTGGTCAGTGTGGTGGCCTGTACCTGTAATTCCTGTGACGCCAGGAGGCTGAGACCGAGGGGTCTTGAACTTGAGGCTGGCCTGAGAACACAGAGAGACCTTCTAGCTCAAAACAGGTAAGCTGACGGGTCAGCAGGTAGCATAGTGGTTAAGGCGAAGGCCAACCACAACCACATGGCCAACCACAGTTCGAGTCCTGGACCTAGTGGCTTGAAAGATCACACTGGGTGCATTTGCATGCATGCCTATGACCCTAAACAGTAATGGAGGAGAAGAAACTATGGTGTGGCCATACCCCCCTGGGAAGTGACTTCTTACTTACCCTCTCGCTGCCTCTCTATGGCAAGCACATGTGCCTTGTGGCAAAATTAAAACTAAACTAAACAAATAAAGGAAAAGCTCAGCTGGGAGGCTGAGGCTGGAGAGTCCTCACATGAGACTCTTTCTTAAAACAAAACAAAACAAAAAGACATTTACCTTTAAACTGGTCCTTTTGGGACCAGCAGTTGGCATAATAGATACGTCGCTGGACTCCCATGTAGTCGCCCGTGGTTCGCGTCCCGGACCCGGTGACTTAAACTCACGCCGGGCGCGTGTGTGTGCATGCCCAGAGGAGAATGAAGGAAAAGGGATTGCAGCATGGCCATCCCCCCTGGGGGGTGATTTCTCGCTTTCTGTCTCTCTGTCTCTCTGGCTTTCTGGCGAGCGCATGCGCCCTATAGCAAAAGCCTCTGAAAAAAAACAAAAAAAATTGTACAGAGGAGCGAAAGCAGGTGCAAAGAGGGAGGAATCAGAAACTTCCACTTCCTGTTTGCCCCTCCCATGCTCTTAGCTGATTGGATGGTGCCCTCCTGGCTCCACCTCTTAAAGGGCCCACCACCTCCAGGAGCCAAAGCCATTGCACTGGGGACCACACTTCGAGAACATGAACTTTGGGGGGGACGAACCATTATCTAAACCATAGGAGTCTGCGTTCTAATTTTTTTTTAAGGTTTTTGTCATAAGCCGCATGTGCTCACTGGAGAGGAGAAAGAGACAGAGACAGAGAGAGAAAGTGAGAAATCACGGGGGTGGGGGGGGATAGCCATGCCCCAATCCCTTCTCCATTCTCTCAGGATTTGGGGCATGCACACCCACACCCAGCTTGATTTCCAAGTCACCGGGTTACCCTGCCAGACCTACCTATGGGAGATGGCCAGGAGCGTGGCGCCATCTACTGGCCGCCTGGTTAAGCAGTTACCCAGGTCGCGACGAAGCCGCACCCAGAGCAGGGGTGGGAAGCGCAGCAGCTCCTTGCTGGGTGGAGTCCAGTCCTGGTACACGGCCTGCAGCACCTCGTCGTCCAAGGACAAGACGTCCTTCAGCTCCGCCTCTGAGAGACCGTGCCTGCGGGATGGAGGGACACTTCTGTGCCTTCTGGAATTGGAAGACAGAAAAGGCAAGGGAGGGGCAGACACGGCCCCCTGCACAGTGTCCAACACAATACCCTGAGAATCACCGACCCCGGTTCAAGTCCTAGACTTGGTGGCTTGCTTTCTCTCTCTCTTTCATTGCTTTGTGGTCAAATTGAAAAAATAAAAAAAAAAAAGATGATGAATAAAAGTAAATAAATTAATTCTTTTTTAATGCAATTATGTATTTAATTTTATTTATTTTAATTTGAGCAGAGAGAAACAGAGAAAGAAAGAGTGAGAAAGCAAGCCACCAGGTCTGGGACTCGAACCACAGTCGGCCATGCGAGAG